AATACTATTCTGCAACAAGTTTACACTTAATGTATCTTGAAACTTTTTAAAAATCACCACATAAAGTTACAGCTTTCTTTTAAGCAAACTCTTCAAAATGTATTCCAAAGTACATTGTACAATTTAACTGGTTCCCTGTGAGAGTTATCTTAAATTCTAAGATTAGCATTACAAAGAATGTTACATATACATATATCTTTGTTTGTATCATGCAGGTATATCCAAAGAGCAAATCCTAACTAGTAGAATTGCATGGTGTGCCTGAGCTTTGTTACCAACTAAAGGTTATGTTTTTTCAGGATATATAATGTTTATAGTTCACTGAAAGTTGCTAGTAAACATTGGGTCACATGTATCTCCACAGCCTCTTTTGGCAGGAGACCTTTGGTAAAAGGAAAAGATGTCGAAAGAAAGGTCTTTGCCTTTATCAGTTGTAGATCTGCCTTTGGTCATCTATAATTCACTAATAATTAGCAATTGTTCATAATGATTTCATTTCATAATCACTTCATTTTTTGAAACTGAAGATACTTTTTGAGAGACTAAAAGCATCATCACCATGCTTAACTCAATCTAATCTATTATTCTAAGAAACTAATGTATTTCTACACTTTCATTTATTTTCTTAAGATTGAATAATAATGCTGATATGACCACTAAAAATTAGCTGACTCAGCAGTTGTCAAGACAACTGTCACAAAAGTTTGCCCATTGTTTACTGCTGATCCATTCAACAATATTCCCTGCTTATTTCCCCAAAGGATTTGAGACAGCTTATTCTGCAAAGACAAGTGCTTGAAGTCTAAACACCATCATAGACCAAGGGCAAAAGGCAGGTGTAAAAGAGAGAGTGGGAGGAAATTATTTCCCCAAGAAATTAGCTTATGAAAGGCCCCAAACCTAGTTCTTAAGGTAGAGAGACAAAGGGTGAGTTATGGAGTTTGTAATTTTCTAGCACAGAAGTTCTCAGTGTTATTAGACACAATGGTTCTTTTTCATAACAAGTATTTTATCTGAATGCCTTGTTACCATCTTGAAACGAGGTTTATGGATAGCACAGCTTATTTACTCCAACCGTTTAAAAATGAAGTCAGAACTCTTGCATAATGTAAGTAATGTATAGTAAAATAATATGTATTTTGGCATATATGTCCAGGCATGACTATGCTGGAAGGCAGAGGAAGTTACCACATGCTTATACCAACAGAAAGAATCACTATGAGTGCTGCAGCTACAAATGCAGCCTGGTTGAGATGTGTTGGCTACTCAGCTACCATCCGCATTGATGTGATGATTACAGTTTTCCTAAATAGTGAAGAATTCTCCTTAAATCCTGAAAAAAAAGGTGTAATTTTCCCCCAGTTTACTTGGATTTTGAATTTCTAGGAAATTAAGTGATAGTGAAATTAAGCAGAAACTTCTTTGTATTTACATGCCAAGTGGATTTTTTTCCAGGTTCATAAATAGCCTTTTTTTCCTTACATGGAAATCTGATGAGATATTCAGACACAGTGCAGAATGTGGAACCGTCTTCACTGTACAGGACTGTCCTATACACTGCGGACCATCAGGGACCCCTGGTCTCTGTTCATAGTAAATGCCAGAAATTTCTCCTCCCCACTACCATTGCAAGAGTCAGTCACTTTGGAAATCTGATGGGCATTATGTGTTAAAATCTGCATTTCCCATCACCCAGTAATCTACTCTTAGTTATATATACACATCATAAATGAATATGTATGTGCATCAGAAGTTTTGTTCAAGAATGTCTGCAGCAACATTATTCCTAATAGCCCCAAATGGAAATAACTCACATATTCCCTCAACAGCAGAATGGATCAACAAATTGTGCCATATTCATAAATATGCAACAATGAAAATGAACAAATTGCTAGTACAGAAACCATGGAGAAATCTCACAAACATAATGTTGAGTGACAGAGCTACACACAAAATAACACATACTATATCAATTCCGAAAGTTCAAACACAGGCAAAACAGATTTATAGTAATTTCTGGAATAATGCCTGGAGGGAGAATGAGGCATTTCAGTGCTGATAGTTGCCCTGTCCTTCCTTTCTTCCTTCCCACCCTCCTTCTTTCCTTTCCTCTCCTTCCCTCCTTCTTTCCTTTCCTCTCCTTCCCTCCTTCCCTCCTTTCTTTCTTTTCTTTCTTTTCTTTCTTTCTCTTTCTTTCTTTCTTTCTTTCTTTCTTTCTTTCTTTCTTTCTTTCTTTC